CGGGAGATGTGGTTTTCTGGCAGGAGTCGCGCTCCCGCCGTCGGGGCACGCTCCCGCCGCCACACCGGAAGCGCATTGTGGCGCTCCCGAGGCACGCCGGGAGACGTAGTTCTCTGACCGCTTCTTTCCTCCCACACCAGCCTGCGGGTCCCACCCGGGCAACCAGACACCAGCCACGTGGGACAGCTGATCGCTGGCTAGTTGGGACTAAGATGGGTTCGAAGGGTAAAATGCACACTGTATTGCACTGCTGTGATGTTTCTTCTGGATTGCACTGCTTTAGGTTGGAAGTTCTCAAAGTGGGGTCACCAGGCAAGCCGCATGGGCAGCACCTGGGAATTGTTAGAAATATGGTATCCTCGCCCCATCCCAAACCTCCTGTATCAGAGACTCAGCAATCCCGTTGTAGTGAGCCTTCCGAGTGCTTCTGATGTACACTCAGGTTGGTGAATCACTAGTCTATGGGAATTCTGGCTTTGCAGGACACTTGTAAGGGATGGAAGTTGCCCCATGGGCAACAGTGGTGCCAGGTGGATTCATTTTCTGTGGGGTGTGACAAAGATTCTCTGCTTGGCCAAACTTAGGCTCCTGAAATGTCTCCAGGCCCATGTGTGCACGTCTTCATAAATTCTAGTTTTAGTAGAGTCCTGCTAAGTCAGTTCAGCAAGAACCTTTGATGTCTGATCAGGTTGCTCAGCCGCCATCACCCCCCAGGAAGGGTCTGATCCCCCAACCTGTCTTCAGCAAGAATCCTGTTAAATCAGCTTAGCCAGAATATTCCTCCACCCCCCATGTTTCTTCTTACCAGTTTTCCATCCACTGATCCCCTACCCTGTTCCTTGGCCAGAAATTCCAACTTGCCTGTGCTGTATTCTGAGTTGAGTTCAACCTGTCTCTCCCACTCAAGGCCCCATTACAGGTGTCCCTGTTCCTATCTCAGCAATCCTGAATAGTCTTTTTTGCGATGTGAATAAATACGAAGCCACAGTTTCAGCCAGACCTTGACCACTGACTGAGTTCACTCACTCATTCATTCAAAAACCCTTTACTGACAAAGATGAATAAGACATTCCCTGTCCTCAGAGGCCAGTAGCTAGCTGGGGTGGTGGTCTCTGTCTTTCACCTCCAGGCTTTTGCTCTGTCTCTGCCATCTGCACACACGTTCTCATTTTTCTTCTATATAATCATTCTGATCGTGTCCAAATTCCGCTTGTCCAGTCTAGCATTTGTGAATTGCCTCCTGTGCCTCCTGTGAATTGCCTCCTGTGAGTGGGAGCCTCTGCTCCTCAGTGAAAAGTAGTTATGATAAAGACCGAAGCTAGGCTTTAGAACGTATGCCTCTAATCCCAGCAATTTGGAAGACTGAGGAAGGAGAATTGTTTGAACCTAGGAGTTCAAGACCAGCCTGGGTGACAAAGCAAGACCCCATCTCTACAAAAAATAGAAAAATTAGCCAGGCATAGTGGCACATATCTGTAGTCTCAGATACTCAGAAGACTGAGGTGGGAGGATCACTTGAGCCAGGGAGTTCGAGACTGCAGTGAGCTGTGATCATACCACTGCACACCAGCTTGAGCAATACAGGGAGATCCTGCCTCAAAAACAAACAAGTATAAAACCCTCGCATTTCGGCTTCTACACCCACCCCCCCCCGCCACCTTCCTGCTCCCTCCTGGTCATGTGCTACACAGCACAGAGACAACTCTGCCACAGACCTCATAAGTATCCACACCAGCCACGCAGACAAAGGCCCGAGTCACAGAACGCACTGACCCCCCTGCAAGAGGATGGGAAGCTGTGAGGAGCCTCTGAGGCCACCCCTATGCCCTGCCCGCCTCACCCAAGAGGCCGTCGAGCAAGGGTTCTCACTGTCTCCTGCGTTCTGATGAGGCATGAGGCTGAATTCCTTTCCTGTAACAAATTACCTCAAACTAGGGGGCTCAAAACAGCCAAGATTTATCCTCTCAAGTCTGCAGCCCAGAGGTCTGAAATGCAGGTATCATGGGACCACACTCCCTCCAGAGGCCGTAGGGGAGAAACTTCCTGCCTCCTCCAGCTTCTGAGGGCTCGAGGCGTTCCCTGGTTCATGGCCACGTGACTACATGCTCTGCCTCACTCCCCCTGGCCTCTCCTCTTCTTCCTGTTTCTCCTCCATGCTCCCCCTCTTTTTGAGTCAGAGTCTCACTCTGTCACTCAGGCTGGGGTGTGACACAAACATGGCTCACTGCAACCTCAACCCCTTGGGCTCAGGCAGTCCTCCCACCTCAACCTCCAGAGTAGCTGGGGACCACAGACGCATGCCACCATGCCTGATTCATTTTTGTGATTTTTTTTTTTTATAGAGATGGGGTCTTGCTATATTGCCCAGGCTGGCCTAGAGCTCCTGGGCTCAAGCAATCCCACCTTGAATTCCCAAAATGATGGGTTACAGATGTGAGCTACCGCTCCTGGCCCCATATCTCTTTCTCTTTTTTTTGTTTTTGTTTTTTGACTTGGAGTCTCACTCTGTCACCCAGGCTGGAGTGCAGTGGCACACTCACAGTCACGCCAGCGTCGATTCGCTGGGCTCCAGCGATCCTTCTGCCTCAGCCATCCAAGTAGCCAGAACTACAGGCGCACGCTACCACCGGCTTATCTTTTTGATACATTGTAGAGACAAGGTCTCATCAAATTGCCCAGGCTGGTCTTGAACCCGCAGACTCAGGCAATCCACTCGCCCCCGCCCCCCAAAGTGCTGGGATTACAGGCTGAGCCACCGAGCCCAGCCCCATGTCTCCCTTATAAGGATGGATGTAGGGCCCCCATCCTACTCTAGGATGTTCTTAGCTAGGATGATCTTATCTCGAGATCCTTAATTACATCTACAAAGACCTTTTCCCCCAATGAAGATCCTGTTCACACGGTCCCGCCCACCACAGGGGCTGCCAGCCCCGCTCCCGCAGAGACAGCGAAGCCCAGCAGAGGGCTCTCCAGCGATGGGCGGCCACTCCTGCAGAACTCACTTGCCCCTTCCGTCCTGCTTCTGTCCCTTTAGTGTGTGAGCCAAGGGCCCTTGGCTCCTCTCCTTGTGTTGCTTTTGTTAGAAGTTGTTGTGTCTCTGTCACCCAAATCGGGTCGGCCGAGCCTTGGTCTTCCCGGCCTCCTCCATCCTGGGTTTCGTTCCTCACCCACCCCTGGGCCTCTCACGGCCACACTGTCGGTCCTGCTCTTCTCACCTGACTCACAGGTTCCTTGCCTCAATGCCCGTGCCAGCCCAGCCCAATCCTCAGAGCTCAGAGCCTCCTCCTCCAAGAAGCCCACCCTGGCCGGGCTTCTTCTGGGACCACTGCTCGGCACACTGAGCATGTAGGTAAAATATTTCCGAAGAGCCTGGAAGTCAGCGTAAGGGGTCTTCTCATCAGTGGCAACCCCTGCCCAGGGCAGAGCCCAGTCAGCCATAATCTGCTCCCCCCCCCCCACACACACACATAATGCAGGAGGACAGCAGGTAACCAGAGAGGTTTGGAGCGAATCCCTTCCCAGTGACCAGGTGCCGTCTCAAGACCCCCAGGCCTGGCTCTCTAGGACCCCAAGTGGGGTGTGGGGGTGGCATGAAGGAGGATTCTGGAATCAAACCCATAAGCTTGGTGTCTGTGCTCTGTCTCTTCCCAGTCGAGAGACCTGGGCAGATTCTGCCTTTTCTGAACCTCAGTTTCCCCTTCTGTGAGGGTCAGGCTTTGGTGTAGACATGGAGACGCTGCCCAGAGCCTCCTCCAGGAGAGGACCTACTGCCCAGCTGCCCAGCTGCCCCAGCCTCGGTTGCAGAGGCCACCTTGCAGGGTCATGACCCCCAGGAATGGAAAGTCTGGCCATTTCCCAGGCTCCCTGGTTAACCGCACCTGGTTCGCTGGCCCAGTGTGTGTTAACATGGTACCCACTGTGTGCCAGGTGCTGCTGCAAGGGAAGAAGGAGGTGGGGAGCACCAGGTGGGAGTGAGTGCCCTGCTCCCAGAATGGGGGAGGGACATGGAAGGGGACTCTTGGTCCCAGCCACAGAAACCAGCTCTGGCCGGTTCAGGTAGAAAAGGACTCCAGATAGGGCCTTCTTGGGCCTCTCAGAACCTGGAGGAGAGCTCCTCACCACCTCCACTGCCATGCTGACCACCCCATCCATCCCCGACCATGCAACTCCAAGGCAGGGCCTGCTGATGGGTGGTTCACACTGAGCCCATGCCTCCAGGCCATTCTTGCTGGGACATTCTTGCTGTCCCTGCTTCCCAGCCTGGGGTGGTCTAAGTGTGGCAGTCCGGGGCCCAGCAAGGCCTGGAGTGAGCTGACCACCCCAGTCCAGCCTTGGTTTGTGCCCTGGCACCAAGAATTCCCTGGAGGAGCTCGAAGTGCCCTGGGTGGTGGCTGCCAAGGATGTAGCTGTCCTACCCGTGGTGTCCTCGACCCCTGCACAGACGTGGCCTGAAGCCCCAGTCCCTGTGTGGGGTGCAGCCTGGCCGGGCAGAGGGCCTCCTGGCAAAAGCGGCTCCAGGTCTGATGGAAGCAGTGGACTGTCCCTTGCCCTCCGCACCCCGATGGCAAAAACCCTCCAAGCTGCAGAGGCCTGGCTGCAGTGCCCTAAGAAGGCCGCTAGAGAGCGCAGGTGAGCCATCATCCTGCCTGGAGGCTGCGGTGTGTGGCCGGTGAGTATGCATGCACGTGTGTGTGTGTGTGTGTGTGT